TTTAGATGTGACGCAAGATGAACTTCAATACTTGATGATGAAATAGGGTCATGAAAGTCGTCACATGCTTGGAACACACCTATAATAAATGTAGGGAAGCCGGTCTGAACTGTGTTAATGACGTTTACAATGTTTTCGTAGAACGTCTTAACAATGCTGTCGGCCATGTTAAATTCGAATGAAAAATATTCAAGCTCTAGATACTTAGAGTGTGTAGTTCCAGTAGCAAAGGAAGGAAGAGGCCCCGAGCTATGACATTCCCTAAGTTCCAAATGTGCTCCAAGCAAGGGGGGGGGGGGGGGGGGGCGGGGGCGAGAGGGAACGGAGGGGAGGGTATGCCCCTCCTCCTCATCCGTACTCTCTCGTCGTCCCCTTCTCCTCCTCCTGTGCTCCTCCTCCTCTTTTGAGGTATCTCAATTTTGCGATATACCGCACTGAACTATGTAATATATTGTGGTATTTTTGCTCACCGCTTGTACGGAGAAAGGGAATATACTTGTCAGATCTGGAAGCTCCAATGTGATTTACGATTGATGAGACCACTTGCTTGCACAACACGTATCTGGCATCTCCTCTCCTCCTCCTCCTCAACCTCACCGTCCTCCTCCTCCTCTTCGTCTTGTACGACTTGCACGCTCCAACTGATAACGAAGCTGGAAGATGCTCCTCCGAGTGGCCCGCCTAACACCTCTCAAGGTACGCAAGACCGTCGGAGGGAACAATTTCCCAGCTTTCGTTCTTCTCCTCCTCCTTTCTTCCTAGCGTGCAGTGCATATCGTCGCCAAAGTTCGGCGTCCAAAATCCCCACAATATATACAAATATAGAGCAAGCTCCTCCTATACTGGTGCTTTAAATAGCACTCTTATCCCAGTCCTTGATTGTTATGAAGGAAGCCTTGTGATCTGAGAAGTGGCAGGATATGTGTTCCAGGGGATGGACCAAAGGCTGATTTTGAAAGACGAGGTCTATGCACGTGTTTCGAGAGGTCGTCACAGCGGTGTGAGCTGTTACGAGGGAGAGAAATGGGAGGTTTTCCTGCATAAGTGGTATGAAGTTCTTATCCTTCTTTAAGTCTGCATTAAAGTCCCCCACTACTAACATGGGTGTGGACCCACGTGTGCTTAACGCAAGTCGCAGAAAATGCACGATATCTTTGGTGAGTGCTGTAGGCGAGATATACAGAGCCACCACTACCAAGCCGTTGTCGAACTTGGCGCCACAAAGTTCTCCAACTTCGTCTGACGTTCCAAATATCTCGATGGGTACGGCAGACAGACCCTTACGCACGTAGATGGCCACCCCTGCCGCTCTGTTGTGCTCTCTACTGACGCCGCAGCAGTACTGGTAGTCCATGATTTCTACCGCCTGTTTTGGATCCATCCACGTTTCCGAGAGGCAAAGTACAGATGCATGGCGTAGGACGGGGTCGTGGTGCACGTCCTTGGAATGCGCCGGCAGAGAGCGAACATTAAGTGCGGCGACCGAGAACAAGTGCGGTTGCTTAATCATTGCGTAGCACTTAGCAGTGACAGTTTGGAGTTTGTGTGACTGCAGTCGACGAAACTCATCAAGTAGTACCCTGTCGGGATTGGACTTGCCGTGGTAGAACGTAAAGTCATTGTCCACATTGGTGAGGTAGAGCCCGTTGATGTCTGTAGCACGACTCAGTGCCACGTATACCAATTTCTGTGGATGACTTTTGGCATACGAGTACACCACGTTTTCATACGTGCCTCCCTGTGATTTGTGAATGGTGATAGCACTTGCTTGCACAACGGGTAGCTGGCATCTCCTCAGGGATATCCTTGACTTCTTATCAATGACGCAAGTGACTGTGCGTCTTTCGATAGGTGTCCAATTTTGCTGAATATTTCTGTCGAGTGCCCGTAACTGCCGGGATTTTGCGGCCGCCACGGTTCCAATCGCAATTTTGGAACCAAGCTCACCGAAATGCAGCCAGATGCGTTCCGGCTCTCGGAGCGTATCGTATTGTATGTACTGCAGTATTCCAACAGAGCCATTGACCAGACCATCGGAAACATCGACATTGAGTGTGAGCATATATGGTTTTCCAATGCATAGCATTATATTAGCTGGCAGGTTTCCGAGTTCGGCCTTGGGCAGCGTTTCGGCCTTGCGCATTGCCTCTGTCTTCTCCTGCATAGACCTGAATCCAACGATTGTGTCCCGTGCCGGACATGCCACACAATTATCTTCGGTTGCAATGGCCGTGTTCGTATTGTAGTAGTCCGATTCCTTGTTGGAGTAGTACAAGCGGATGCCACCGGGACAACACGTTTCTGCTTGTTGTTGCGTGACGAACCGACTCTGGATCAATGCGATTTCTTCGGAATCCAATTCTGCACCGTCTCCAATTTTGGTAAGTATGGTGGAAAACCTGAGATCACTTTGCCTTACGACCTTCGTGAGGACAAAGTATGACAAATGGTGCCATGCGATTTCCGTGTTAAACACACTGTTCGTCTTGACGCGCTTGAAAACCTCGGCGGCACGAACGGGGGGAAGCTGGCGCAGGTCTCCGCAGAGGATGATGTCTAACCCGCCGAAAGGCTCTAGATATTTGCAAGTGATGATGCGGAGTCGCGAGTCCACTTTCTGAAGGATGTCGGCGGACATCATGCTAACCTCATCGATAATCACGCACCTGACGTTCCTGAACGCATAGCGGAACGTGTTCAACTCGTTGTCCCGGAGTCCGCCATCCCTATTGATGGTAAGTCTGAACGCTGCATGTACAGTTATTCCACCAAGCGCGACCGCCGCTTTTCCAGTTGTAGCACAGGCAACATAGGCGTTTACATTATCTGAACCAGCAGGGTTGCAATATCTGTTGTAGACGTCCATGATGAGACGCAGTACAAATGTCTTCCCACATCCAGCCACTCCCGTGAAGAAGATTTGTAGTGGCGGAGAGTCCGGTATAGTGAGTCTATGCACGACTTCTCGGACGATCTCGTACTGCTCCTCATTCGTCTTGCGCATTGTGTCCAGGTATTGATCTCTGCTCATGACGTCTTGGCGCGTGCACACGGCGGGGCACTGCTTAAACGGGGCATTGGATTGGACCATACCGATGTCTAGGAGATCGGAGTCGTCGTTTTCCATGGCCATCGGGTGCAGTCTCACATCTGGGAGCTCAGAAGTGGCACAATGTTCCCCGTCATTTGACTGGAGCATGGAATTACAAACGGCACGAATTTGCTCAATGTCTACGTCACTGTGGTACCGTGCCTTGTTCTCTAGAATGACGTCGATGTTTTGCTCATACAGACGCTCAAAACAGTTTTGGTCTAAGATGTCAACTTCTTTGCGGAATGGATAGAAAAGCAGGACATGTTCTCGCTTGAAGTTGACTGAATCGTCTACGGAGTAACCGGGGTAGCGAAGTATCCGTCGCTGATTCCTCTTTTTGTAGGTATATATGTTGTACTCGGTAGCGAACTCTGCTAGAGTAACAGGTTCCAATTCGGGAATGCGGTCTTCGTAGCGCTCGATCATCGTCCGTTTCCATACATCAGTGCTTGATTCTACTAAGCCTTCCTGCGCCATCTGAGCGTTAGACTTCCGAATGCGCGTCCTTTCCTCGGGCCATGCAGAGTTCACGAAGACAACTTTGCGACTCGCCTCCGACATATCCTGGTTGAGCAAACACCATGCGGCCTCCTGTGCGGACAGTTCAATGGCATTCAACATTGTCACACCTAGATGTCTCAGTGCCTGAGAATAGGCCATATCCCCCTTCTCCTTGACAATTTCTTGCACTGCTCGATTGAGGTTCGACATACCTCGGTTGGCCTTGTTTACATATTCCACCACGTAGGCAGCACACGCGTACGTGTCGAGGACGATCTGAAGATCCATGTTAGAATCGAGAATTGATGCAACCCATGGGTTAAAGTAATTCACCCACTTTTGCTGCACAGTACGGGGTAGCATGATGGTGGCACGAGGAGTGCCTGCTCGGAGAACAGAAATGTACTCCGCCTTGTCCGGGACACCGTGATGTTCCCAAAACTGCTCCATGGAGTCATAATTTGTCGTTTCCAGGGCCTGATGCATGGCCTCGTACTTGTTTAGGAGGCTCTCGATTTTCTTCTTTTGCGCTTCATTGTCCACAGTGGGGAAAGGCACTACGACCATACATTCATCGATGGGCATAAAAGGCGCGTTAAAGCGGCATCTGGTGGTGTTGTGCTTGTAGCAGGTATGCGTGTGTTGGTGCACCTGAGTCCGCTCCCGCTTCAAGCATCCGTTGTCGATGGAAAGCAGAACGTTGGCTATTTCAAGAGTCTGGGGCATGAGCATCGAGAGCTCCTCGTTGGGCGCGTTATGAAGCCAAAGGAGAATGTGCGCGTGTGCCGACCCGCGGTGCTGAAATTCGATCCGCTTAAAGTAGTCGACGACTATGTACGGCCTAAAAGGCGATACACGGGTGTTGCGGAGAATGTTGAGAATGACACGCACCAATCGGTCGAAATATATGGCACAGACCACGGGATCGTCATTTACTAGCTGTGCTCGATAAATGCTGTTCATTTGCTCCAGTGGTACTTCGATCTCGCCGGGCTTCAACCGAAGGCGTTGAAGCCACTGCAAAAGGTCAGGCCAGTGCATTTCCGAGGCAGAAAGAGTGAGGAACGCGGTCGGCTTACCCAACTGCCGTATCACAGCAAAGAGGTCTTTCTTGCGTTTTGTCCAGTACTGCACGGTGTTGGGAATACCATGCATGAAAGCCATGTCGTGCTCGACCGCTTGCTGCACAAAATCCTTGTCGAGCAACTGTTGCTTCGTTAGTGTTTCCAGTGCCTTTATGTTACGGAAGGCCACACACATGTCACCGGCTACTCGGTGCCTAAACACTTTCATGGCCATGTACAGTACGTGCTGCGGGGTGGCCCCTCGACGGTCTGATCTGCGGATCTCACTCATGGCGTGTGTGAAGACTGTCGGTTTTGCGCTGGCATCTACTCGGCGCGGCTCACCGAGATAGATCTGTGGGAACGAAAGCTCCTCTGAGTGTTCGTCATAAAGTACGCTCACGGGCCTTTTTCCCTCACCTGGCGCAATCGCTAGAAACTTGTCTTCGTCCCATACGAGAGTGTGCTGAGCCAGAGTCATGGCTGTAGCCACTTGGATCGGATCGTTGAGGTCTGAGCATTGCGGGAGCAACTCGATCTCGTCGTGTTCGTCCACTTCTACGATATCGCCCAAACGGGCAAAATCGCACTTTATATTATAATGCTTGTACAGCGTGCTATCACACAGCAGCTTAAGCCACGGCAGCAGATCACATTTTTTTACTGCCCCTGCCAGGTAGGTCGTCTTCGCAAGCATGCGCCGCTTCAAATGTACATTGAGGGCTCGGTCTTGTTCGATGGCACGAGGCAACATTGTCACCATGTCGTCCACATCAACACAGACGTTCACTACTGGTCCCTTAATGCCGTGCTGACCTGCACCGTGCATCAGCCGTCGCAGTTGCATGAAAGGAATTCGTGGAGATATGAGTCTCTCACTCACCGCGTTCAATTGTGGGAGGTGGGCTGGCTTCGGGGGATATACATAACCGTTACTTGAGGAAAGATGAGGAATATGACACTTGTGCACTGATTGTATGCAGGTCGAGCACAGTTTGAATTGGGTTAGGTCCGAGTTTGGAAATGATTGCTCTAGGGTCTCGTGACATCTGTCCGGTAGCGGTTGCAAGTCGTTTTGGAACCAGAGCCGGTCACAGACTGAACATACGCTCCCAAACGGGTTGTCTCTAAACAGCCGTTGGAAAATTTTTGTTGCACCGTCAGGCTTAGCGATCCTTGCCTTTTGCTTGGCTTCCGCTTCGGCGGCGCTCACTCCTGGCTGCTCTCGGCGGCGGCGATGAGCCTCTGCCTCGGCGTCGCGCACTTCCGGGTGCTCTCGATAGCGGCTTCTGGCTTCCGCTTCGGCGGCGCTCACTCCTGGCTGCTCTCGGCGGCGGCGATGAGCCTCAGCCTCGGCGTCGCGCACTTCCGGGTCCTCTCGACGGCGGCGCTTAGATTGAGCTTCAGCAGCGCTCACTTCTGGCTGCTCTCGGCGGCGGCGATGAGCCTCAGCCTCGGCGTCGCGCACTTCCGGGTCCTCTCGACGGCGGCGCTTAGATTGAGCTTCAGCAGCGCTCACTTCTGGCTGCTCTCGGCGGCGGCGATGAGCCTCTGCCTCGGCGTCGCGCACTTCCGGGTCCTCTCGACGGCGGCGCTTAGATTCAGCTTCAGCAGCGCTTACTTCTGGGTGCTCTCGGCGACGGCGATGAGCTTCTGCTTCGGCGTCGCGCACTTCCGGGTTCTCTCGATAGCGGCTTCTGGCTTCCGCTTCGCCGGCGCTCACTCCTGGCTGCTCTCGACGGCGGCGATGAGCTTCTGCTTCGGCGTCGCGCACTTCCGGGTCCTCTCGATAGCGGCTTCTGGCTTCCGCTTCGGCGGCGCTCACTCCTGGCTGCTCTCGACGGCGGCAATGAGCTTCTGCTTCGGCGTCGCGCACTTCCGGGTCCTCTCGATAGCGGCTTCTGGCTTCCGCTTCGGCGGCGCTCACTCCTGGCTGCTCTCGACGGCGGCGATGAGCTTCTGCTTCGGCGTCGCGCACTTCAGGGTCCTCTCGACGGCGGCGCTTAGATTGAGCTTCAGCAGCGCTCACTTCTGGCTGCTCTCGGCGGCGGCGATGAGCCTCTGCCTCGGCGTCGCGCACTTCCGGGTCTTGTCGACGGCGCCGTTTAGCTTCAGCTTCGGCGGCACGCACTGCAGGATCTTGGCGCCGGCGGCGCTGAGCCTCTGCTCGGGCAGTGCGTTTAGCAGCAGCTGCTTCATCTGACTCGCTCATTTTGTGAAAAAAGAACTGCCTGATTACGTCTCGTCGTCGTCGTCTTTGTGATATCACTCATGCTGGATCACGGCGCCGGCGGTGCTGACCCTCTGCTCGTGCAGCACGTTTAGCAGCAGCTGCTATAGCCCCTCCATCCTGACAAAAGTGGCTGCATTGATTGTTGTGGGAATGCTGGAGACACGTGCCGTGCACCTATTCTGGGAAGAACATGGCCAGTGTAACATGGCATCTGAAATCTAGTTTGAATATGCACTGTGCCGCCATGATCTTTCCAAAGTCTGCACGTTGCACGTGCCTTGTGCATCGACGCACCGTGCGCTACTTTTAAGAAATGAACGCACTTTAGCAGCTTTTAGCTTCTCTTTGTTCTATTATTTTTCTGCTGCAGGGTTTTTCAACCGTGCAGCAGGAAAGCCGAAGCCGGCCGAGGGATAAGAGATAAGAGTCTTTTAAAATAATTTTTCGGAGAAATTAAAATTCGGATTTGTCCGCCCTGCTCATCCTCCCTGCTCCCCTGCGTTCTCCTCTTCCCCTCGCGGGGGCCACGTGATCTCGGGGGGGGGGAGGGGAGGGGGTAGTCACGTGACCCTCCCGAGGCCACGTGACCCCCCGCTGAAGTCAGGTGACCCCCTCCCCCCTCTCGAACCATACTAGACAATGAGGGGAGGAGGAGGAGGGGGAGGAGGAGGAGGGCGGAGGTCCGGGAGGTCACGTGACCTCGAGGGGACGGGATCACATGACCTTGGGCGGGCCGTCACGTGACTTCGGCGGGGGGAGGGGAGTCACCCCCCGGGGTCACGTGACCTTGGCGGGGGGAGGGGGGAGGAGGAGGAGCGGAGGGGGAGGAGGAGGAGGGGCGACGCCGACGCCGCAGAGGCTGGAAACGGGTCATGTGACCCCCTCCCGCCGAGGTCACGTGACCCACCCGGACCATACTACACAATGAGGGGAGGAGGAGAAGGAGGGGGAGGAAGAGGAGGAGGAGGGGAGGAGGAGGGGGAGGAGGAGGAGGGGGAGGGGCGCGGTTACGCCGACGCCGACGGCGACGGCGACGGCGACGCCGACGACGACGCCAACGGCGACGCCACTCAGGCTGGAAACGGGCCCCTAAGAGCTGCGCTCTAAAAGCTAATTAACAAGTTGTATGTAATTATCCGACTGATCGTTACGATTAGGCCCCTCTACTACGTCCCGCTGGCTGTATAACTCACCTGCACAAACCACATAATTGTAGCTGTCACGACCTTTTTAAACAATTATGTAAAGCTTTAAAAAATCGCCTTGTATACCAGTGAAAAAGGGTTAAGGTACACCTAAGTACCTCTTAAGCCCCTTACGCACATTCGCGTTTGAACGCGTTTGAGTGCGTTGCGGCGTCCTTGCGGTCAGGAGCGGTCGCTTGCGATGCGACGCGCGCCTTCGCAACGCTCCGTAGCGCGACGCCAGTGTCTAGAGAGTCGCTCAACTCTCCGAAGCGTTGCGGTGCGTTCGACAAATCAGAAGCCGAGAGAGGAGAGGAGAGTGACGTGTTCGCTCGCGCCCCTCGGCCGACTCGGCGAGATAGAGAGAGAATGAACTTGATTTGTACTCAGGAAACCCTGGTCCAGGTCTCCTAGGGGGGGGATGCGGTCAGGACCTCGTACTCCTGAAGCACTTGTGCCGAGACAGTCTTGGCATGAGCCCTCGAGGGCTTGAAGAGTCTGCTTGGCGATGTGTAAGGGTGGCGCAGCCACTCCTCCCAGGAGGTGATTTCGGGGGGAAGGGGGGGATGAGGGGGGTAAAGGGGCACGCCCAGTATGTGTGATGCGGCCAGGGGTAGGTGTCACAACATTGACAATGGGGGTGGCTGGGTCGCCAGTGAATTCTACGTAGGACGTGATGTGATGGCAGTGAATGCGTTTGCGCCTGCCGGATAAGTGCGGCGTCTGCGCGTCTGAAATGGGCGGGAGGAGGGGGCAGCGTTTGTCGGTTCCTACGGTACACACTAAAAATTTCAAAACCCATGTTCGTGTTAAAAGGGTGTTTTTCCGAGCTCACACCCTTCCTACAGCATTTTTACATGATTTTTGAAAATTCAAGGGTGTACGGAAAGGCCTACACCCTTCGTACATCCTTTTAACACCCTGCGGCTACCGAAATCGTGTTAAGAGGGTGTTGCGGTGGTACACCCAGGATTTCCGAGTCGTCGAACTCGGAAACCACCAAATAGCAGACATACGCGCCGACAGCAGAAGTCAGGAAGCAGTCCGCTCAATTTAGAAAATTTCGTGAAGTTCAATTAAGCACAATGGGCAGCTGACATCCAAGCCAAGCCAACGCTCAAGTTGTTTTCAAGCCACATGAATGCCGGCGTTGTGTACAAGCTCCTTGGGTGTTTACGTGCAGGCGACCACGAAAATTGCATCGGCTACTCACGCACTTCTGCTCAAAATGGTGAGACCACATCGCTTCTATTATGATACATTCCGTCCCATCTTGAGATGTACTAAAGCGAAAGCTAGACGTGCGAGACTGTTCGGGCTCACAGCTTTATTGTGAGCCTGTACCGTAAAGGTCGGTTCAGACAATTGCGTTTGAGTGCGTTTGACTGCGTTGCGTCGAGAACCGAAAGCGAGTCGCCGGCACATCGGTGCTTCGTATTAAGCGTGGATTCCAATTCAAGGAATCATCTTGGCACGCGATATAAGCAGCAGGGATGTCCTGGTTTCTCGCAGCCGCAAGGCGTCAAACGCAGTCAAACGCAACTGTTTGAACCAGGCTTTACGTGGTTGTCCTGTGCTTGTCCTTCGCGTTTTATTCTTTCAATTTTAAGTATTCACTTTCAACTCGCTCGCTTTTACCAGTACTAGTAGATACTCAAGCTGCACGAGGGTTCGTGCAGTGCGACCATCTAGCGATGCTATGAGCTCGTGCTCGAGCCTTGGCTTTAATGCATCTTATACCCCATTCACACGGTCAGCATAAAGGTACCTTTAACATAGGTCCCTTTGCTACCGGCGAATGAGCCCGTGCTCTTGGGTCGCGAGCACGCGCCACGCGCGGAAGAACGTGAATTCATTGGCCGCAGAGAATAAAGGTCCCTTAGCTAAAGGTACCTTTACAGTCGTGTGAATGGGGTATTAGTGGGGAAGGCAATCATCGGGGATATATGACACACGATGATGCCAAGTCTGTTCAAGGCGGGCTCTCGTGCTGTTTTGATTGGAGGAGAAGGGGCGTGTAAAAAATTGGCAAAGAGAACATGGTTAGCGACAGCGCAAATATATGTTGGAAAAAGTTCAGAACGCTGAAGTGCAGCAGCCCGAAACTTTGGAGTTGAGCAATTAGAGAATCCTTTGAAGGCATCTTTAGAGGTTCAGCCTCCTCTCCCCCCACACCAGTATCGAAGGCTGCTAGGATATGGGTTCAGGCTAAGCCCTCTCTCTGTCTTTCAGTCAGCGAACTCGGGCCGTTCCACCTGACCTTGTTATTTCATAACCGATGTGTTAGAAAATGGAATGCAGATTTTCTTTACACGGCCAAAACATAAAGTGTTATCAAATAATACCTGCCATATTCATATTCTATGTTTACAGACCGGGGTCGCCCCGCCCGTGGAGGGCGAAGATACGAGCAGCCTCGAAGCCCACCAACAGTGGCTGTGTGCTGAAAGCGAAAGCTGGTGCCTGACGAAGGCCAGATTGATCTTCGAATGGATGCGACTGCCTGCCTACGGCTACATGCGTTGACATTGATGGGCATATAGACTGCACATAATGCTTATCCCTACCTGATGGATGCTAAGAGGGTATGCATTCCATATTTTTTTACCGATTTCTACGACAATTGCTAAATTGCGCTTCCCCGCTCCGTGAGTGCGGCTACCAGACGGCCATCTTGGGACACGGAAAATCAACCTTTTGGAGCGTTGGAGAGGCTGGCCGGCAGCGTGCTGAAGACATGTTTTCTGGTCGTTTGTCGTCATTGGGCGCGTTAAAGAGGCCCTGTGATAACTTTTTGACTGGTTTTTAATTTGGACCGAACCTGAGCGCACTGAACGTAGTAACTTAAAGAAACTTTTCTTTTCTAAAATTTCGCTTTATTTTAAAAGTTATAGGCGAATTAGAATTACAAAAACAAGCAAAAAAGAACCTCCTTCATGACGTCGTAGGTCCTGGCTCGAGTGGCCGTGAAGTAGTGAGCTCATGGAGCGCTCAAGGCTGCCGCACTCAGTGTCGAAGGCTCGAGAGGGCGCCACTAAAGCACATGTTGACTCGGCTGTATGAAGCGGGCGGCCAGGGTGGCTCGCATTGCATTTGCCGCGCGATTAAAGACTAGTTGGCCATAACACTTCATTAGCCACAAACGACATCAAACACAGGGTAAAGATCAGTTCAGAACAGGAGCCACTTCGCACTGCCATACCGCCAAATGGCCAAATCGCCAGCCAAGCCGGCGCCGAAAGCCTTCGGAACGCTTGGAACTGGTCGGATCCTCGAGCCGGTATACGACCGCAGCGCCGCCGAATACATCCGGGACCTTTCTACGCTCGCCGTTCGTCGGAGCCTCATCCCACTAGGGCTTTCTAGTATGCGCCGTTTTTTTGCGCCGCTTGGTGGAGGGTTTGTCAGGGGGGGGAAGGAGGGAAAGGGAACGCGGCGCAAAGCGGAGGCTGCCATATTAAAACCGCTTACGTTGCCAGCATAGGTTTTGCAGCGGAGAAGTTGCTGCCATATACGGCGGACTGAGTTTTACTTTCTTTTTCGTTTTGGAACGAGAATGTATTGTTGTGTTACATAAGTCCTCCTGCATACAGACAATAAATTTGAATTATATTTGTCTTGTTTACTTGGTTTGAAACCCTAGAAACGGGTTTTTGACGACTTATTGCTCTCATCATTTTGGAGTACGCAAGGCAGTTATCTCGCTGTTCTGGTTTCGGT